TTGTGATACCACATAAAAAAATTATTCATTTGTTTATTTAAGTTTTATATATATATAATAATTGAAATATATATGTATTGCAAATTGTAATTGTAATTTTAATTGTTAGTGTGTAAATAATTTTTATATATATATATTTTTTTTTCTGCTTATTATGCGTCATTAGATAAATTTCTATGCGCATGTTTATGGACATATTTCTTAAAATAGATATTAAGTTGATGAGCTATATATATTATGATGATTATTATAATAATAGTTGCTAAGAGTACCTGTTCATGTGTTGTATTCTGGGTCTGCTACAGGTTGTTGGTGACATCAGTTTTTTGTTGTAGGTTGACATTCTCATCCTTCGAAAACCGATCAATTGTAGTTGTAGTATTCTGTGTACTTTTACCTTTAGCACTGTTCATTTTAATATATGTGTTATGTCTTTATGTGTGTGAATTGTTTTTAGTATGTATTTTTTTGTTTTTGTGTTCATATATTAGTTTCACCTTATACACATCTCACAATATTATTTAATGTTGATTGAATAAAAATAAGTAATCGAAGTTTATCATATGAGTATTCAGTTGATACTCATTTTATTTTAAAAAGTATGCTGTATTTATACAAAAATAATCTTAAAACTAACTTAACTAATTTACAATATTTATTACCTGTTATAGCTTGTTTGAGTGGACTGTATTGCATTACAAAAAAAGGATACAATAAAATCCCAGCACATAGGATTTTTATTATTTTACAAATATATTTTTATTATCGATACGGTGCCGTGTATCATAAAATGTATTTTAAAATGTGTTTAATATTCTACAATGTTACTATTTTAGTTTTGGGTTTTTTATTACCCGTGTTTTTTCCTTCGTATATAATTCTAAGCATTTAAACTATAACAGGCTTGGAATAATAAACTATCAATTTAAGGACATCCTGCCAGCGTGTTTAATATGCACAGTTGTGCATTATTTTAATTTTAATATAATTTTTTATGATTTTAAAGAGAAAACTGGCATTTGTCTTAAAATAACATGTTCATTATTGAACATATTGCCAGCGCCTTTATTAAGGCAGAATGGCTTAATATAAGATGAATATGAAATTGAATATTAGTAATTTGAATAATAAAACATGTTCATTATTGAACAAATGTTATTATATATCTTTTTGGTAATTGTACTTTTAAATCACATTTATCTAATGCTTTTTGAGACTTCGAATTTTTTTTATTGGTCCTTGTACTTTTTGCGTTCACATATTAATTTCACATTATTCACATATTATTATTCATTCACAATGTTGTTTAATTTTATTATATAACGTTTTATATTATTTTCGTATTATATATATTTTATTTTGGTCCTTGTACTGCAATTTTGCAGTGTGGCCAAGGTTTTATATTTCTATTATCAATCATAATTGCGTCTCTAATAACCGGCTTGAATTCATCTACTATCGCAGAGCTTTGTAGATTACTAGAAGATGTTAATGTTGTTTCTCTTAAACGCTCCATACATCCTTCTGCTTTCTGTGATTCTGTGATAGAATGCCTTGACCTGATAAGTTTATTATATCTTCCATTGAATTTGAGCATTTTATGTGGGCAGATTCTTGTTTAAAAGTTTTGAATATCCAACTATTTTGTTTATACCATATAATTTGACCCAAATGAAAGAATTATTTACTTCTTCGTAGTGATAATTATCTTGATTAGTTGGTTTTAGTGGCGAAATTTCACAAGAGTTATCGTTTGCATCTGTCCAAGGAAAATTACCTTCACAAGTAAATTGTTGCTCCGCTATCTTGCTGCATTGAATCCATGTCAGAAGGTCCATCAATTGATATGCATTCATTTCCAGATTATAAAGTAGAAATGATGACATAACTTTCGGAATTATATATTATGCGCCTTGGTTTATAGGTATTATTTTATATATGGTAGATGAGTGCTTGCTGAACAGTGGAATTTTTGCGTTAATCACTAATTTATTTTCAATGAATAACCCCTTTGCCTTTAATTGCTTTAATTATGGACTCTAACTCCGTTCCAGTTTTTTTACCAGGTAGTATTAAATTTTCGGGAATTTTATCTCTTATTTTTATCATTTCGTCATGTAACTGTGATGGTTTTATAAGCGCTGGATTCAATTTTCCACGGTTAATGTCCGTCAAAAGTTTAATAACTTCAGACTAAATGTGAGAACATTCTTCTACCATATCTGATAAGTGTTTTGCTACCATAAAAAAATTTATAGATTCCCTATAGACCAGATAGGTTTCGTTCAAAGCAGTGTTAATGGATTCAACTCGTTTATGAATTTTATTGTATTGTAGCTGAATTTCTTCAGATGTGCGCTTTAATATATTTACTGTTGTTTCTATTACCGATGTTTGTCTTTCAGTCATCTGTTTTAAGTTGTGTTGATTCTCTGGTAGATTATTCATATCTTCTTCCAGCGCCTTTCTGTCGTTTTCATCCATCATTCCGAATAGAAGGTGATTAAATGAACCAATGAATGCCAATGGTGCTCTCTTTCTTCTTTCTTTCACCGACCATATAAATAACTTATTACCATCGTTTATGTCTGATCATTTTCTAAGCATTGCATTTGATATATTCTTACATTGGTCAGCAAAATTTAGTAATTTGGGACATATATTATTAGCTTTGCTAAGTATATCCTCTGCGTTTTTAGCCATATCAAAGTATGGTTGCATATCATAATATATTATTAGATTCCAAGCTGATGTTTCTGAAGTGACTTCTCCAATCATGTCCAAATATAACGTTGTTTTATTATTTAGTTCATGAATTATATATTTATGTTATATAAATATATTTTTAAAATAAAACACGAATGATACTTTTTATATATTTTTATTATTTATTTAAACATTCACTAAACATTTACAAAGTTAAGATTTTATTTATTTTTATAAAAGAAAACCACACACGAGTAAGATATTTATTTTATTAACGAGGACGAGATTTGAAATTTAATATAATGGTGAAGACGTGGTCGAAAATGTACCGACTTCCTCTGAGTGGTGCATTCAGTTTTTATATGGGATGAATGATAGAATAATATTCTATCA